GCACGTTACCATCGGCCGTGTGGCTCAGCCGAATCTCGCTGGGGGTAACAGACTTGAGCATTTCCTGCGGAGCCAGGGAGGATCTGCCCCACCAGTACTTACGCTGCCAGCGGCTCAAACCAATGTTCCGCCTTTTGGGGGACATCTTCAGGAAACTGGGGGTGCCCTTCTACAACAGCAGCTTCGTATATGGGGTGCCTTACCTGGCTAACAAGCGCCATGACCTCGCCAATTTCGCCTGTGCTCAGGCGAAGATGGCGGTGTACAGAACGAGGAAAAAGATGCTGCAAGGTGACACTGACGGCTGCGCTGTGCTTCCAGTGTTCAGGGGCCTGCTTGAGGCGCGGCTCCGGCTGGAGCACGCATACCACACACGTCGGTGATGTGCACGTCTTCTTCGAACGCTGGGGAGCCAGAAAAGCCCTCTGTACCAGCGTGGACGGCACCCTCATGTTCACCTTCTGAAGCGCTCGCTCATCACCGTGGCGTGCGCGATGACCACCACCACCACGTGACTTTTCTTTCATGTTGTGCGAGCTGCATTTAGCGCCACAGCGCGTGGATTTATAGCGATTATTTGTTAGCTGGTGACTTTGTGTATTTCGTATCGGATTCACCTCCAGTGCTGTTGCTGCTGGCGGCAATAAAAGTTGTTTAAAAGTCAAAAGAGTCTCTCTGGTTCTCCACAAGTCGCATCGTTTCGCAAGTTGTGCTGTCGCTCACTTAAAATAGGGTGCATCCCTCGAAATGGAAAGATATACCCCACAGCTGTTATATCTTTATAAATAAAAAAAACCGAGACAATTTTTATTTCAGTTGTGCTACTGGCGTCATGTTACGAGACGAAGATTCTATTTGGAACTCTCGAAGGGCAGTGCTAGAGAACATCCCGTTGAAAGTGATATCACGGAACGACTTGTGAAATCCCTGCAAGTGACCTTTTCTATTTACGAAAGGGCGCAACTCTTCTTTATATGCTGCCACAAACAAATGTTAATCCAACTGATTTTTTTATCATAGATTTATTTTATGCCAAATTACACGAAGAACTAACTTAGGGGAGGGGTTGGGTTTTGGGATGATAGTAGTCATTGAGCACTGGGCTGAGACCACTAACTCTGAAATCTTCATAACCGCTTTTTGTGTGATTAGTTTGTTGTTCTTCCCCCGCACCTCCGATTAGCACGGTTGGCTACGTACGGTGCGAGAGAAGTGCAACGTACACACATACAGAAGTTCAACACACAGGTGGAGAGAAACCCGGATTCAAACTCAGGATTCAGTAGTGCCGGCTCAGTTATATGATCCATCCAGCTTGCTTGCTCAGTCTCTGTTCATCATCAACAACAACAACATCTTGATTTAAAGCTTTCGTGACTGCAGGGATTCATATTCTTGGTTCTTTCGGTAAAGTCACGTAGAATGGGAAACAAAATAATACAAATATAAAACAATAACATTCTCATGACGTTTCGACTGCGACACAAGCAATGATCATCAGGTGTGAAAACCACAGTAAAAAATTGCTGTGGTTTTCACACCTGATGATGATTTGCTGTGGTTTTCACACCTGATGATGATTGCTTGTGTCGCAGTTGAAACGTCATGATAATTTTATTGTTTTATATTTTTATTATTTTGTTGTTTCCCTTCTACGTGACTTTACCGAAAGAACCAAGAATATGAATAACAAAAACATCATCATTATCAGCCACGGTCCATCAACGGTTCGGCGAATACGTCCTCCAAACCATCGTGTTACCTTTGCTTTTGCTTTACAATTCGTATATCACGTAAAAAAAACGAACTGAAATAACCAAGGTGAATAACATCGCAGTGTTTGCCTTTGGGGTGAGTGGTGCTTATACAGGCCAAGGAAGGAATTGAAGATACAAGGAGGAACACCCATCAAAGCTATTACAGCCCTGGGCCCCTATCAAAACTTAATCTGATCCTGGATTGGAGATGTTTGTTTTCATTGCTGATATCCACTATCCACCTGCACTGCATCATCCGAGGCTGAAAACCCGAAGTGGATTGTGTTCCTCTCTACAATCTCTGCACAGCAAGGGTGGACTCACACAGACGACTTCCACCACCCTCCCCTCCCACCGCGTGCCCTCCCGCACTTTCCACATTCCCTCCCCCGCCACAGAATTGTGGTCAACGCCAAGACGCGGGCATCACGTTACCCCCCAGCGGTGCCTTAATGTAGAGAGAGAGAATTCCGAGCCTACTCAACCGCTTACTCACGCTCGGCGGGACCCCCTAAGATACCATCCAGCCGTTGGGATGACGTGTTTTGCGCACACACAGAGACGTTTGTTAAGGAACGAAACAGGGAGGATTTATCCACAAATCTGGCTGCCGCCTGATGATGCCGGTTTCATTGGTGAAACGTCGTACTCAGATTGTAAATGTGGATTTGCTCTCCAACACACCGGTTTGCTGTGCTAGTAACGAATTGACAAGTTCTGTCTACGTGACAAATCTTACTAATTGGCTGTCGGGTGGTGGCGGGTTTAACGACGCATATATATTTACGCGATCTAACCCACAAAAAACATTATGGATTATATTGATCGCAAAAGACTACATGTTAAATCCATCGCGTAAACCTCTGGGGGATCGAATCGGCTTCTGTTGCCCAATCATTCTTTGGCGTCTGATTTTTGGATAAATAATGATAATTACCAAAAATATAGTAACGTGGACAAGTTCGTACGTTTGCTGTTTGAGCCATCCCCATAGCGCTAAGAAGGAGCCGCTATGTTTCACAGATGGGTAGATTCTGCCAGTAAGGAGACCGATGTTGCTATGCGGTTTTACACAACCTAAGTTGATTTAACACGAAGGCTTTCGCGACCAATATCCATAGTACAGGGTTTTTTTAACATTGGGATGTTTTGATACATTGCGATCTAACCCCAAAAAAAACTGTATTATGAATAACCTAAGTTGATTAACCATGCTTTGTAAGCTTGGGCCAATGAGGTGGCAGCAGAATTAATTAATTATTAAATCAATCTGTGCAGAACTTTGAGTGTCATCTCCTCGTATGTGCGGTGGGTTTTCTCCGGGTTCTTCGCTGTCCTTCCAGCACGAAGCCAAAAACCCGTCACTTGGAATTGGCCAAATATCTCAATGTATCAGGACCCTCCTCAATACCAGTCCTAAATTGGCATTAATGAGAAATAGGGTGGTGATAGAAAGTATCGGCCAAACCGGGTAATGGCATCACGAGATCGCTCCTCTTTGTGAATTGTAAAGTCTCTTTGATCTGATGGACGCAGATTCGTACTCATCGCAAACAGCCAGAGGACACGCGGCCCAGATGCTTTCATTACTTTAAATGAAGAGCTGTTCAGTCCTAGGGTCATATGTTAAATAAAGGTAACTGCCCTATAATAGAGTATTAAAGCTTTCGTGACTGCATAAAATTACTCATTTACCGAAAAAAACAATGAGTAACTGCCCTATATTTGGGATGTTAGACGTGCTTTGAAGTCACGTTGTAACGAGATCATGCTGGTTGTATTGGAACGGCGACGGGGTGGATGGCACACGGCGGTCTGAACCCCGGCGAGCCGAGTTTGATTCCCAGCCACGGCTATGACTGGCAGCAAGTGACATCCGATCCGAACCGAACCAGTCCTGGGCCAACCCCGACACCAACCCAAGCTGAAGAACGTGGTGAAGTATGGCCAATTTAACGCCTCTCCCATGGCCGACACGGTGTTAGGAGGCCATCGTCCAGCAGTGGATCGACAAGGGGACTTTAAGTAATATTATCGACCTTATGGACAAATGGATGAACTCGGCTCACGAGGCCACCAGCTTGCGAATGGCGACATCGCATCGCTGGGGTCTTTAACGTTAAACATTTCAACAAACACCACACCCAGGGAAGAAAGGAATTTCGTGAACGTTTATGGTGGTGGTTCCCTGGCGGCGGGGGGGGGGTCCCTGCGTTAATCAGCTGCAAGGCTGGGGGGGCGGCGGGGTGGGGGGGGGCACAGCTGCCGGTAATATGCTGCTTCCAGACATGAATACGGAGAAGTTCCTTTTATTTTTAACTTTCTCTTGCGGCAGCGCACGTCACTCGATCCTCCCTGCACGCGCCTCCGCTCTCTCCCTCCCTCGCCCGCAAGCGATTGTCCCGTCACGTGAGACATTCAAGCAAAATCGCGGTGCACATCTGCGTCAACAGCTGTGGGCGACTGAGTGACCGAGCGGGAGATGTTGGGTGACCATGCGGTGACTAGTGGATGGGACCGGCCATTTCATCTCTCTTCTCGTTTCGCACGTCCGATTATCACCGTTGGCTACGTACGGTGCGAAATAAGTTCAACGTACATACATCTCCCGCGAATAGTCCAATTCCTTACCCCCCCCCACCCCCCACTCTCGCTGACCCCCTCGTGATTGCCTCGATTACATCCCAATTTGACTCCCCGACAACTCCCTCCGCGACAACCTCCACAAATCCCCCACCTCCGCTCAGCGGATGATCCAAAATGCGACTGACAGACTTCTCACCCGCATCCGTGAATGAGACCACATCCGATCCCACGACTGGCACCCTCCCGATCCAGTCTCAGATCAACTTCAAGATCGCACTCGCCGACTTCCAGATCCTCCATGGACTCGCCCCTGCCTTCCTCTCATCTCACTATCCTAACCTATACCCTCTCGTCTCACTCTACTCCCCTCCCCGCACTCTCCCACCTCCCAGCTAGCGTTGCTCCACTCTCCACACTAACTCAGCGTTCTTCACACATTTCCAGGGGTGGGACACTTTCGCCACCACACATTGGGCGTTGACAGCACGATGTTTTCACGTGTTATGTATTGTCGGGGGCCACACATGAGCACGAAAGACCACCAGGTGCTGCCCGTGGCCCGTGGGACTTGCAATGAAGAACACTGCACCATCCTATGTCTTCCATCTCGTCTCACTCTGCTTCCCTCCCCGCCCGCTCTGCTCTTTGATATTCCAGGTGTGGCTCTGTTTGTCACGGACGGGATCCCCGTCCTCATCCCCACGTCCCCCAACACCAACGGAGGGGACTCCGAGCTGTGCCTGAGAGCGGTGGAGTCCAGGGATACGGAGGTCGCGGGGTCGTCTGTGGGGTCATCTGGAGGTCACCGGAGACTCCTGTACTCGGTGTGTGCGGCTCGCGACGTTCGGGCCGTGCACAGGGGCATGCGGTCCAGGTTCTACGCGGCTCCGGATTCGGCTCCCCTTCCAGACCTCCTCTGGTAACGGGCGCTGCACAGTGCACAGGGCACGACGGAACACGCAGCGTTAGGTCTCGGCAAAACAATGATGTCCAGAGACTGTGAAGGCCTGAAACATTTCTGGCTGCAAAATAAATAGGCAGACATTATTTTTCCTTGATAAATCTGTCCCGTCAACCACAAGGCCTTCTGGGGGTGCATCATTTCAGGAGCCTTGGTTAAATGTATTATACTGGTAGGAACCTCCTGGTTACACCACCAGCCCACAGGGGATTATTGTGTCCGTCCGTCCGTCGTGCATCCACAAATGGGAGGGGTGGGGCTGGGTGGAGAGGGGAGGGTGGGGAGGGGCTGGGTGGGGAGGGAGGGGCAGGGTGGGGAGGGTGGGGAGGGGCTGCGTGGGGAGGGGCTGCGTGGGGAGGGGCTGCGTGGGGAGGGGAGAGTGGGGAGGGAGGGACTGGGTGGGGAGGGTGGGGCTGAGTGGGGGGTGGGAGGGGTGGGGCTGGGTGGGGAGGGGCTGGTCACCCCGTGGTGCCCTTATACAACTCAACGTTTAACCTACTCACGCCGGCTTGTGCCCGCCCTCACAGTCGGGCATATTGTGCTGAATACACCACGTGGTGCCGCCGTTGACCCTGGCTATTGACCGAGCAACCCAACGTTCCTACGAGCTCCCTCCGCAGGAATGTGTTTTATCTAGTTACTTTTTATGATAATTATTAACATATTAAAATATAAATGCTTTGTTACTTGCAGTCGCCACAAAGATGCTCACGATTATTGTTTTACATTTCTGTTAAGCTCACGAGGAACACGTGACGAGCCGGCAGCCTCTCCCTTCACCTCGTCAGCCCCGCCCACTTTTAACCAGGCCACGCCCATTCAATTACTAGCACAGCCCACACAGCGGATTGGCCCTTTTCTGACACAGGCCCCCGCCTATTCCCCTCCCCAAGCTCCCAAAAATAAAAATCCCAATGTTTCTACATACTGTATACATTTGGACACTGGGACAGACTTTCTGGTTTGTCCCGGCCAAACCAGGAGATGTTTGGTAGATTAAACAGACAAATGTACTGCTTGATGGGACCTCCACCGTGGCGTATTTCCCCCGGACGCGGTTCCCTCCACGCAAGGGGTGAATGCGCCGTCTGTTGCGCCGTTACAGGATTTGAACCTCTGGCCAGCCTTGTGCTTTCTAAAGTCATAGTGATCTGTTCAGAGTTATGGCTTAATCTTTGTTACACCTGTGACCAGCGCCACCTGTAGCTTGTGCCCCCCCCCACCCCCCGCGACCGACCCCCGTGCTGGCGATCCGTGGCCGTGCCGACCGTAGGAGCCTCCTGTGGCACCTGCCACGTGTCCCGGCCGACCCTGCCGCGCTCCACAGGGCCGTGCGTGGGCTGGCAAGGAAGCTCCACAAGCACGCCATGGGAGACAGCGTCATCAGCCTGGGGGAGGCGGCCGCACATCTGCCACGGGCGGCGACGGCAGGGCCGGTGAGCCGCCCCCGATAGGTGCAACGCCGCTGCTAACGGCGCTTGTTTATTTCGCGAATGCTTTTGCACGCGGGTGCCGCATGGTCAGAGCGCCAGACATGCAAGAAGAAAAAGAAGAAAACACACGAACGAGTAAGTGAACATGTTCGTCATTGTAATATTGCGTGCGAGCGCACGTAAGCGCACATAGCCGCGTGACAGCCTTCCTGCTCCGGTGCGCGCAGGGCAAGCCGCCACGGTCTGCCGCTCCCCACATTCACACGGCGGGCTGTCGCGTAGTAGTGCGGCCCCATCGCACCAGAAGCGGTTCAACTAACGGCGCTTGGCCCTTCACTCTCCAAGCCCATGCCAGGGGGTCGGCAACCTGCTGGCTCTGGAGCCCCACGCGGCTCTTAGAAATTCGAACAAAAAATGCCTCTTCTTCTTATTTTGGTTGCAGACCCCTGACCATGGAGGCCCGTCCAGTTTGCCAGGGGCAGGGGTCGGCAACCTGTGGCTCATCAAGGACTGTTTCGTGGCGTTATTTATTCAGGACCACCGTCTCTCGTATTCACCACACAGTGCATCGCGGCGCTTGAAAACATTTTTTTTACCGAATTCGAAAAGAAATGGCTCTTCATGTTGCGTTTTGGTTGCTTACCCCTGGGCTACACAGTACGGGGGATCTTTGTCGTTGCACATGTCTACATATGAGGGTCAAAGGAGAGAGTGACGCTCACAACAACGAGCAAAGCCCCGGGGCGACTAAAACCTCGCGAGGTGGCACACCGGGCAACGCAGGTGGAGCATCTGACCGTCATCTCAGTCAGTCAACCTGTGACACGTGGGTCTGATCCTTGACCTGCTGCCAGCGAGGGTGTGACACTTCACACGGCCTCAAAGTTCACCTAGCCTGGCACGGGTGTGTGGTGATGTTGCTTTAGCGGCTGTTGTTGTTTTACAGCGACGTCTCTCGGCCGCGTAACCCGAGTAAGTCACAAACTCGTGTGGCAAATCGCACATTCCCTCCGCTGATAAACGTATTACTTTGCTGGTGTGAAGAGGCTATATAAAACAAAACCTCACCTCACTGGGCATCATGACCAGACAACAATATTGTACCCCTTAAGCGATGAAATATTGTGGTGTACTGGATGGCACGCTGGACTGGCAATCTGGAAGGTCGCCGGTTAGATTCTACCTCCTGGCACGGCAGGAGGCAGTGTGGTGGACCCCAACACGAAGCCACTGGAGCCGTGCGCTTTTAAATCTAGAGAGAAAGCGCATCTCTTTAAAATAGCGTTTTGTGTTTTAGTTTATTGTCCTTCCCCTGCACCTCCGATGAGCACGGTTGGCTACGTATGGTGCGAAAGAAGCTCAACGTTCAGACAGGTCGCGTGTGGGGATGTAAAGTGTGGGTACTCTCATCTCTTCCATGCAGTGTGGAAGAGTAGGTCAAACAATCCTCTGGAGGGGCTGTATTAAACTTCCTCTGTTCTGCCAGCAGTGGCTTAAGCAGGTAATTGCAGGGCTGCTCCTTTACCTTCTAAGCGATGACGATTTGTGTGTGTGTGTATGTCCGACGGCCTCGTGCATTAGCCCACACCACGTTGTAAATAATGAATGCTCGTTTGGCCATAAGCATCGCACTTATCAAAAGCGAATGCGGTCGATAAAACACGGCAAAGTAAATCACGAGATGCGTTATTAAATACCACGTGTCTATTTTACCAGCAAAAAAATAAAATGAAATTCCATTTAGGGCTGTCACCTTATCGGCATTCCGGGAACAATATTTTTCCCCCCGGCAGCGTTTGTCGAACGGGCCACACTGCTGATGAGACCTACAAAGCCGAAAAGCAGTCCACAGCGTGCCCTCCTGTTTGAACAAACGCTGCTGCAAAACATTGGTCTGGAAGGCACATACGTTAATGGGACTTAGAACGTTATTGTTGCTATTCAGTGCTTTGGCATGCTATTGATTAATATTTATTTATTATCCAAAATCCAACTGGACATACTCTTTGGTTCTATTCGGTAAAGTCAAGTAGGTAAAAAATTAAAACAACAAAAATCACGACGTTTCGGCCACAACACAAGCGGCCTTCATCAGGTGGAACGAAAGAGTATGGATCTTTGCAGTCACGAAAGCTTTAAATCTAGAACCAACTGGACATCCCATAATACATGTTAATAATGTTAGTGGCGTGCAGGTTAGGGACTGAGTCGTAAGACTCCTGCACAGGAATGTTCGTGGCCAGTTCCTCGTCGAGTTGCTTATTTATCTATCTATCCATCTATTTATTTATTTATTTGTTTGTTTGCTACAGTAGGAGTGAAAACTCAATGCCAGGAACCATTTCTCAATGAAATAAAAATGTTGCATTGCTCCTTCCCATTTATGTCCCAAAGCCAGTGAATGCAAACTCCACATTCGCATCGGGTGGGGAAGCTATCCGCCAGCTTCCGTATTTGATAAATACGCGTGACTATATTTGCTGTTGTTTTGTCGTGCGAGCTGTTGGTGAAGGCGGTCGACCCGGCATCCACTCCACTGCCGGCCGGCGTGTCGCTGTGCGTGGCCGCCTCTCCGTTCCTCCGAGCCGACAACCCCGAGTTCGACACCAGCCTGAGGAGCCGCGACACAGAGCAGCTGTGGGTTTCGGATCCCGCGCCCCACGGAGGAGACGCGGTACTAAAAAAAATATCATTCTCCAGCGCCGGGCATGTCATTCCACGCTCCTATGGCGGGGGTGGGGGAAAGTATTTCCTGCAGAGGGCAACCACTGATTGTTGAGTTCTCATGAATTGGTTGCCTACTTAATTTACGATGATCTGTAGGTTGCATCATCACCATCTGCTGCACGTTTCTCCATCCCTTTTTGTGCATGGTAAGACTAACGCAAAACTTGAACCTGTGCACTTGAGGTCATCAGCCTGCCACGCGCTCTGCTGGAGGCAACCTTGTGTCATTTTTTATCCCAGCCCCAGGCGAAATAACGTTCACACCCATCGTCTATTCCGATGACAGCGACGTAAATGCTGATGATGACGATTATGACAATCACGACAACGCTGGCGCCAGGATCCACGACCGCAGCGCCGATAACGACGCCGCCTCTACCACCCCACGCGTCTTATCCCACGTGTCTTACCCCGCGCATCTCACCCTGTGCGTCTTGTCCCGTGCGTCTTACCCCGTGCGTCTTACCCCGCGCGTCTTACCCCGTGCGTCTTACCCCACGCGTCTTGCCCCATGCATCTTACCCTGTGTGTCTTGCCCCGTGTGTCTTGCCCCGTGCGTCTTGCCCCGTGCGTCTTGCCTCGTGCGTCTTTTGCCCGTGCGTCTTGCCCCGCGCGTCTTACCCCATGCGTCTTGCCCCGTGCGTCTTGCCCCGTGCGTCTTGCAGGTGCCCCAGCTGGTGCGACGCGACGGCCGCCTGTCCCTCCAGCTGGACGTGACGCGGGAGATGGCGTGGCGCTGGCTCGAGTCGCACGCCGGCGCGGCCCTCTCGTGGACGGGCGCCGGCCGCCTCTCCCTGCTGCTCGCCGGCACCGAGCCCCCGGGCCCCGCCACGCCGTGCCGCGGTGCGGGCGGAGGCCGCGGCGGTGCGGGCGGAGAGGAGAGGGGCGATGACGCCATGCGGAGGTTCTCGCGGATCGCCATGGCCGTCGGAAACGGGACCGTCGTCTCGGACGCGTGCAGGTGGGGCGATCAGCCATGCGGTGCCAGGGGGAGCGGTGGCGCCGCAGTTAGTGCGGCGCTGTGTCCCCGGCGAGACGAGTTGGGTTCTCGCTCGCGGCAGAAGTACGGTGGCGAATATTTGAACCGGTCCTGCTGGCCCTTGAGTGACTCGACTCAGCCTCAGATGAGTAGGTGGTGTGGTGCGCAAACATCATCACTGGGGAGATGAAGTTAGCAGCTGGACGTGGTGCTGGCCACCCATCCCCTTGTATGCCGTGCTGCCCTTCATAGTTGCTCACGAACAGAACTCACCCCAACAGTTTGGTAAAGGCTATACAGAGGATCTTTTAGTCGTTTTTGTCTTTTTTGTGCGGGTGAATGTTTAGCGCTGCAGTCACAACAACGTTCTGTTTGTAACAGTGCTTTATTTTGGTGGCGTGCGATGGGGGCGGAACGGAGGTCAGCACCTTGCGTTGTGAACCCAGTGACCCTAGCCAGATTCCCGGCCGGGGAAAATTTTAAAATCATCGCGCGATTCGATGCGTGTTTTAAAAACTTGAGACATTAGACGGAGCAAACGAAGGCAAGCATTACGAATGAGACAAACGAGAGAGTTCAATCGAGACAGACAATTTTGTTTATGGAAGGGTGCAAGCAAGACGGACAATCGAGCTAAGGCAGGCAATCCGAACAAATCGCGCAAACACTGCAGAACAATCAAAACGAGGCAGGCGGTACGAACCGGACACTACGATCGAGACAAATGAAGTTTTGAGCTTGAATCATGGGGGTGGGTGGGGGGGTTGCAGGGTGACGATAGTGGAGGGGGTGGGAAGGGGGTATAGAAGGTGTGAATCAATACACCCCTAATCAATACACCCCTAATCGCTCATAAACACTCCACCCTAACGCCCAACGTGGTTTGAAAGTGCTCATCGTCGTTGGCTAAGACGTTAGACAACAGGATGTGTGTCTCATTTGCTCGCCCTACCGTAAGTGGCGCTTTGGCGTTTATTGACGGTGATTACTGAACACGTGGTGGTGTGACTTTGAGTCTTGAAGCAAGCCCCGCAGTAGCACCCATGACAATTCTCAGGACGTTTCATATCGGTGTGTCCGTCCGTTCGTCTGCGGGTATCTGTCATGTTGCCACGCTAATTACAAAACCCCTCAACCTTTCAACTCACTGTGGAACTCACCGCATAGCAGATCAAGTACTGACCACAGGCCAATTAGAGGTGTGTCTCCTTCATCGTTAGTGACCGCCTGACTCCCTGATTGTTAGCTCGCTAACTGAATGAGTGATTCATTCACCGACTCACTGACTGAAAAACAAGGTAACCCACTCATCGACTGACAGACTGACGAATTGTTCGAATAGACTGACTCCTCAACGAACAAACTCGCAGACTGCCCGAGCATTAACCCAATCACTCGGAGGCAGACTGACTCACTCACGGGTTGCTCAGCCGTAGGCTCAGTCGAGTTGTCTCTCTCCTCCAGGAGTAGCGAATTCCCGCTGTACGTGGCGCTACCAGCGCTGGAGTCCAGCTGGGGTCCTCGAGGTCTTGGGGCGCTCATCCCGTCGGCGCTCCTCGCCAGCCTGCACGGATACCGCTACTTCATTCCCGACGCCGTGGGTGAGAGATGACGCAGTCTCTCTCTCTCACACACACACACAACAGCACACAACACAACAACAACAACCGCCAATCGCCACTAAGTGGTGGCGTCAGCACGGCGCCTGTGCCAGGCCACGTGCACTTTGAGGCCATGTGAAGTGTCGAAGGCTCGATGACAGATCACGGGACAGAGCCAGGTGCCTTGGGTTAACTGAGATGACCGGTAGATGCACCAGCTGTGCCTCTACCGTGCCAACTTGCTGCATTTTAGCCACTCGGCGCTCCGCTCGTTGTTGTGAGCGTCGCTCCTCTGCCCTCCGTTGTTGCTGGAGGGCGACCGCCTCCAACTGCCCAGCAGCAGCAGCGTCCTTCACGAGCCTCCTCCTCCACAGAGGCCGATCTTGACACCGCTGGTACCAGTCGTCGGCAAGTCCACTCAGCTCCACGTCCTCCCGTACCGCATCAGCTCCATCTCTTCTCCAGCCCGTGTCGTGCCCGTTTAGCCCCCCTCTATGCGGCCAAGCAGTAAAGCACCTATCACATGCACACAGACACAACGACAAATACCACCCCCCCCCCCCGTATCGGCTTTGTTGAGGCAAGTGATTTCAACGAGCACCTATGAAGGGTAGCATGGCACACAAGGCGGTGGGGTGGCCAACACCACGCGCGGCCGCCTTTGTTTTCCCAACGCTGATGTTCTCACCCCGCGTAGCCAACACTCTCTGGTACACACGCGCCCCAACACGAGATGCACGGATGGTGTCTGTAGGGAGCAGCACACGGCAAGTCTTTAAATAACCTCAACACTCCCTTTGTCAGTCCGGTGCTGGATTAAGGTCTCTCTTATACCACGCTGTGTCGGTCATGGGGCTTGCTTGACCATACTTTCCCACGCTGGTCAATTCGGGTCGGTGGTGGTGGTGAAGGAGGGATCACATAACCAATAGCAAGCCCGTACGGCGCTCCATCTGTTGTGGTTTATTATGAGCGGTTTGTTTTTTTCTCTTTCTCCAGACATTCGGGTTACTCCGACACGCAAAAATATACCGAAAACATTGCTTGGCAAAATCTACCAGAGGGGGACGCACGTGTTAGACATCACCTTAAACAACTTGGACGATATGTTTCGGTGTGATTGCCAGGTTATGACCGCCTCTTCCAGCACAGCAACGTGCGTGAGAACGTGGCGCCACCTGGCGTGGATGAGCGGCAATTGTAGGGACCTCACAAGTAGTTCTGCAGTGTCACGCTCCGCAAGGCGTTCTCGAACACGTGGAGATTGTTTCCCTGCTTTGTGCGAACTCCGCGCGGAATTTCTCCTTTCCTCGGCGGTGACAACGAAAGCGCGGATGGACTACAACTGCCATTGCCACTAATTAGCCACAATACCTCGCTGAGCATAACCTATCACGCGAACTCTGGTTAGGGGCCGTCCATAAATGACGTCACGCACCTATGGGGGGGGGGGGGGTCAGACATTTGTGACGATGTGTGACGATGGGGGGGGTTGAGAAATGTGACGTCACATCAAAATGCGCAACTGTAAATAAATATAGACAACACGTTCTATTTAGTTATATAGGCTTTTTAATAAATGTATTCTCCTACGACATCAGAGTGAAGCGCCACATTAAATACGCACTATAATGACAATAGTTTAAAGCGATTTGAAGCATGGTTTATATTTTCTTGGGGGGGGGCAGAGCTTTGTGACGTCATATTTGAGGGGGTCTGACTTTTTGTAACGCGGGGGGGGGGTCAAAAATCGTCAAAAATCGCGTGACGTCATTTATGGACGGCCCCTTATCCTCGCTGCAGCGGCTTTTGGCTGGCCATCAAACATAGATGGTCACCGCATCGCGCGCTTTCAGATGCGTTCCTGCGGCCGTCTGGAACGCTCTTCCTTCCCATATTAGGACGCCACTAGAACTATGTGCTTTTAAATCAAGATTGAAAACTAATTTCCTTAAAACTGATTTTTGTGTATAGTTTGTTGTCCTTCCCCGCACCTCCAAGTAGCACGGTTGGTTACATAAAAAATAAACTAAAGTAATTGTAGATAAGTGGATTTTCCATTGGAAATATTTCGTGTTATATTTAGGAGACATCACCGGTACCCTCATCATCAAAAACCTCATTACCATTGGTTTACCTGTTTGCTGTAGTTATGGACGTACGTTCCTCGAACGAGTATACCTGTCCATTGCTGCGGCTGCTGTTGCGTGCTGAGAGGCAATCGGGGAGGGGGGGGGGGTATTGAACTTGTTCCCGCCGACGCGTTTGGGCAGGAGGCACAGCGAGCCGAGGGCCGCCTCCGGAGAAGATGCTGTTTGTTCGGTGGATGCAGATCACGGCCTTCCTGCCCGTGATGTCCTTCCTCACGCCGCCCTGGCACTACGATAACGAGGTGAGGGCGGCGTCGATGATGACGATGATGATGATCATGCTACCAAATTTTTGGGAGGTTCAACCGGGACACGTGGTGAGCTGATATACCCTTTATCACCACCGCCCACTTTCACTCGGCCATGCCTACTCTCAGCACTATCCCCACCCACACAGCGAGTGGATTCGTTCTCTCTGATGTAGGCCCCGCCCACTGATCACAGGCCCCACCCACTACTCAGGTAGCCCGGCACCCACTACCCAGGTAGCTCTGCCGACTGCCCAATAGCATGAGCCGGATATCACCTGGCCACCTCACGTGCAATTTCATTTGACACCACTCGACGATGACCCATAGCGTAAAGCTACCAAATCTACTAATTTGGCCGAGGCAGTCCTGTTGGTTTCAGAAGGTCTGTCCTGGTGTACGGAAGATTCTACAAAAGTCAAGATTTTGTCACAGTTGAAAATGTTCTGGCTTCGTGCTCGACAATGGGTGGGGCTACCTGGGCAGTGGTAGGGGCTGACAGAGGAGTAGGCAGGGCCTATGGGTAGTGGGCATGGCACACCTGAGGGGGAGTGAATCCACTATGTGCACGGTGCTAGCAGTTGAGTGGGCGTGGCTATGTAAAAGTGGGTGGTACCAACAGAGGGGAAGGGGCTTCCAGCTCACCGTGTGTCCCGCTTTAGTGTCCTATAAATGTGGTACAGTAAGCCTGAACCCTCGTCCACGTGTCACTTCAAACTAGTTCTTCACTTCTTACACGATATTTAATGTAATGCTGCTAGGTCACATGGGTGTGGCGTGCCAAAATAACTACAAGAAACAGCATTCCGAAATGTTCCAGATGAAAGTAAACACTGCCCCAAACCGTGATCACGTGTAAAGTGCTCCGCGATGCCAGTGGGCTGACGAACGCTCTAGTGAAACGGTGGCTAGGAGATGTTAACTACCTCGCCCGGTATACAGGAGGTCGTGGGTTCATATTTGACCCTGACGCCTGCTGCTGTATATTTGGAGTCTGCAGTGTCTCTCTCCCCGTGGTCGTGTGGATTCTACTCCGGGTCCTCCAGAGTTTTCCCCTCCACATTTAGAATCAACGTGCGTTTAGAGTATTTGGCTGCTATAAATGTATAGATGATCAGCCACTTTGTTGAACTATCGTTTGAAGCCTGGTCGCGTTTGAAAAAGAGCTATAAAGCTGAGCGGACTTTACCTGGTAAATTCTAAAAAAATGTTCATAGTTTAAATAGAGTTATCTGGTATCGCTGCAAACTTGGTGAGAGGCCAACAGCTGGTGTGTGTTTTACCTTCTAAAGACAGACTGACAGCAGTCATAGGAATGTAGAATTTCCAACACTGGCTCAGGAATGTGGAATTTCCCCCAACATTTGCCTGAGCAAGCAGAAGCCGTGTTGTTTAGAAACCATTATGATTAAAGATAATTATTTTTATTACCTCCCAACCTTAAACCTGTCAACCCATACGATTTACCCCAGATTCTTGTACATGGAAATTGAGTTTTCAGGTCCATACGGAGTACAGCCGTTTCAATACGGGCAAAACAAATTGTCTATTTGCTTGCGTTTCTCCCTTGTGATGGGACTTTGTAGGATGAACGTTGAGATTTATAAGGGCACGGGGTGACCAATAAAGGCACTGATAAGGGATTGGCAGGTATGTTAACGGGGTGACCAATAAAGGCACTGATAAGGGATTGGCAGGTATGTTAACGGGGTGACCAATAAAGGCACTGATAAGGGATTGGCAGGTATGTTAACGGGGTGACCAATAAAGGCACTGATAAGGGATTGGCAGGTATGTTAACGGGGTGACCAATAAAGGCACTGATAAGGGATTGGCAGGTATGTTAACGGGGTGACCAATAAAGGCACTGATAAGGGATTGGCAGGTATGTTAACGGGGTGACCAATAAAGGCACTGATAAGGGATTGGCAGGTATGTTAACGGGGTGACCAATAAAGGCACTGATAAGGGATTGGCAGGTATGTTAACAGGGTGACCAATAAAGGCACTGATAAGGGATTGGCAGGTATGTTAACGGGGTGACCAATAAAGGCACTGATAAGGGATTGGCAGGTATGTTAACGGGGTGACCAATAAAGGCACTGATAAGGGATTGGCAGGTACGTTAACGGGGTGACCAATAAAGGCACTGATAAGGGATTGGCAGGTATGTTAACGGGGTGACCAATAAAGGCACTGATAAGGGATTGGCAGGTATGTTAACAGGGGTGACCAATAAAGGCACTGATAAGGGATTGGCAGGTATGTTAACGGGGTGACCAATAAAGGCACTGATAAGGGATTGGCAGGTATGTTAACGGGGTGACCAATAAAGGCACTGATAAGGGATTGGCAGGTATGTTAACGGGGTGACCAATAAAGGCACTGATAAGGGATTGGCAGGTATGTTAACGGGGTGACCAATAAAGGCACTGATAAGGGATTGGCAGGTATGTTAACGGGGTGACCAATAAAGGCACTGATAAGGGATTGGCAGGTATGTTAACGGGGTGACCAATAAAGGCACTGATAAGGGATTGGCAGGTATGTTAACGGGGTGACCAATAAAGGCACTGATAAGGGATTGGCAGGTATGTTAACGGGGTGACCAATAAAGGCACTGATAAGGGATTGGCAGGTATGTTAACGGGGTGACCAATAAAGGCACTGATAAGGGATTGGCAGGTATGTTAACGGGGTGACCAATAAAGGCACTGATAAGGGATTGGCAGGTATGTTAACGGGGTGACCAATAAAGGCACTGATAAGGGATTGGCAGGTATGTTAACGGGGTGACCAATAAAGGCACTGATAAGGGATTGGCAGGTATGTTAACGGGGTGACCAATAAAGGCACTGATAAGGGATTGGCAGGTATGTTAACGGGGTGACCAATAAAGGCACTGATAAGGGATTGGCAGGTATGTTAACGGGGTGACCAATAAAGGCACTGATAAGGGATTGGCAGGTATGTTAACGGGGTGACCAATAAAGGCACTGATAAGGGATTGGCAGGTATGTTAACGGGGTGACCAATAAAGGTACTGATAAGGGATTGGCAGGTATGTTAACGGGGTGACCAATAAAGGCACTGATAAGGGATTGGCAGGTATGTTAACGGGGTGACCAATAAAGGCACTGATAAGGGATTGGCAGGTATGTTAACGGGGTGACCAATAAAGGCACTGATAAGGGATTGGCAGGTATGTTAACGGGGTGACCAATAAAGGCACTGATAAGGGATTGGCAGGTATGTTAACGGGGTGACCATAAAGGCACTGATAAGGGATTGGCAGGTATGTTAACGGGGTGACCAATAAAGGCACTGATAAGGGATTGGCAGGTATGTTAACGGGGTGACCAATAAAGGCACTGATAAGGGATTGGCAGGTATGTTAACGGGGTGACCAATAAAGGCACTGATAAGGGATTGGCAGGTATGTTAACGGGGTGACCAATAAAGGCACTGATAAGGGATTGGCAGGTATGTTAACGGGGTGACCAATAAAGGCACTGATAAGGGATTGGCAGGTATGTTAACGGGGTGACCAATAAAGGCACTGATAAGGGATTGGCAGGTATGTTAACGGGGTGACCAATAAAGGCACTGATAAGGGATTGGCAGGTATGTTAACGGGGTGACCAATAAAGGCACTGATAAGGGATTGGCAGGTATGTTAACGGGGTGACCAATAAAGGCACTGATAAGGGATTGGCAGGTATGTTAACGGGGTGACCAATAAAGGCACTGATAAGGGATTGGCAGGTATGTTAACGGGGTGACCAATAAAGGCACTGATAAGGGATTGGCAGGTATGTTAACGGGGGTGACCAATAAAGGCACTGATAAGGGATTGGCAGGTATGTTAACGGGGTGACCAATAAAGGCACTGATAAGGGATTGGCAGGTATGTTAACGGGGTGACCAATAAAGGCACTGATAAGGGATTGGCAGGTATGTTAACGGGGTGACCAATAAAGGCACTGATAAGGGATTGGCAGGTATGTTAACGGGGTGACCAATAAAGGCACTGATAAGGGATTGGCAGGTATGTTAACGGGGTGACCAATAAAGGCACTGATAAGGGATTGGCAGGTATGTTAACGGGGTGACCAATAAAGGCACTGATAAGGGATTGGCAGGTATGTTAACGGGGTGACCAATAAAGGCACTGATAAGGGATTGGCAGGTATGTTAACGGGGTGACCAATAAAGGCACTGATAAGGGATTGGCAGGTATGTTAACGGGGTGACCAATAAAGGCACTGATAAGGGATTGGCAGGTATGTTAACGGGGTGACCAATAAAGGCACTGATAAGGGATTGGCAGGTATGTTAACCCCGCCGACCCCGTACGGTTCCCGCAGACCGCGTCGCTCTCCCTGCGCCTCGCCTCGCTGCACCGCTCCCTCGTGGCGCCTCTCCTGCGCCGCTTGGCCGAGAGCCCTGCGCAGGCGGGGCGGCCCCTCGTGCGTCCCCTCTGGTGGCTCGACCCCCGTGACCCCGTCGCGCTGAGCGTCCACGACGAGTTCCTGCTGGGAGACACGGTGAGGGCACCGCGGCGCGACTCCGCACCGCACCAATCCCGCTCGCTAGAGTCCAGGGGTGGCCAACCTGCAACAGACCGAGAGCCAAAAAGGAGTCCTGAGTTCTGCAAAGAGCCGAGTGTATATATCATAAGTGTAAATATACTGACAGTTTTCGGCACAGTACGGGCGACATGCATTATTATTATTAACTGCTGCGATAGCGTGTTCTACGTTATGCCCCTTCCATAGAGCGGCACGTGGTGGATTAAATAGACAATTGCTGCGCGAGACGGTGGAGCAATTCGCCGATGGACTGCAGGCACAGCCATTTTCTCGTTATTCACGGCGATCAATACCTTCCCGAGATCACTCGTGAACAGCACATTTCGCGGAAAATATATAAATAAGCTATGAAATATATTAAAATTATCATAATACACACAAATGAACATTGGTTATAATAAACAAAGTAAATAGAAACTAATATTAAACGATAAATAACAGTTCATTCATTAAATTAGCTTAAATTATGATGCTGCGCGTCATCACTTTCTCTCTCGATGCTATGAAATATGTAGAGTTCCAGATGCGATTCGCGGATAGCCAAAAGCACAGACAACAAGCTTGCGAATACCGGTACAGCACTTGCTAAGCCGGTGGACTGTACCGCATCGGGATGATCCTTCAAGCGGCCGCGGGTTATCAGGGGAGCGCGCTGCGCTACGAACCCGGCGGCCCAAGTTCGATTCTCGCTCACGGCCACGAACACCGGTGACGATTATCTAAACCGGTCCTGACCTTCGCCTAGGTCGACTCAGCCTTAAATTAGTACCTGGTGCGGTGTGTACACACCGCCACGAGTTGACAAAGGCGGCCGGAGGAAACACCAGCGGGACTTCTTGGACGCACTGTGAGGGTCCACTGTGAGGGTCATCAACCGGACTAATGCACTCACACCACGCAGCCACGAGAGGGCGCGATCTCACAAACAAATTTGATTCACCCGTATATCCTGAACAGACTTTTGGGGCATATGCTGCGAGCGGGCACCTATGAAGGTCGGGCACGGCACACGAGGGGGTGGGTGGCCAGCACCACGCCCGGCCGCCTTTGTCTCCCGAGTGGCGATGTTCACACACCGCGTCAGGGGAGACCAAGGAACGGTTACAGATAATCGTCACCGGTGTTGGCCGTGAGCGGGGATCGAACTCGGGTAGCCGGATTCGTAGCGTTGTGCGCTAATCCCTGTGCCACCGTTCCACCCCGAACGGCCTCATCATCGCTATCGACCGTGATTTATCCGCTGCTGAATGAAGGCCTCTCCCCAAGCCGTCACCATCCCACACATTCGCGCGAGGTAACGGCGATCCATCGAGATCCTGCACACGAGCTGATTGCGTCGCTCCATCTCGGCGAGGGACGCCGTCTCGGGTCGCGTTCTCGCTCCTTTCTTTGCCTGCCGCTCCGTGGTTCATCTCGACCGCCCGGCCATCGCCCCATCTTGCCGTGACGGATCCTGCCTCAACGGGACATTGTTCATTCGCGCGAGGGCTAGATTAAGGTTCTTTGAAGGCCCTAGGCACTTATGTTTCGCCGGCCTTCAGTGACAAAGTTCTGCAGTTAGTACTGCTGATGCTGCCCCATGTTACTACCGCCACTGTCACTCCGCTTGTTTCACGCGGCACTTCGTCCAGCCTCTGCACCGATCTCGTTACCGCTCCGTCCACTATTTAGGCCGTGCCATCATTCGATGTGTTCCGCAGATAAGCAGAATTCATTTTAATTTATTGCACATTTTTTTGCAATGAAAAAATATCGGAAAAGTTCATGTCTGGTGTTAATTTCTCTCTCATCTTATGGAGAGAAAAAAACACATTGACACAGACACGATTCTGCATCTTTGTACATGCACCGTGCCTATCCTTGCTGTGTAAATATTTATTCAAGAAGATGTCTTTGTCACATTGTTTTCGTAGGCGCGAGGCACATTGCCTCCTGTGCATATTGGATAATACGCCCCTGTGTCCGCGGACAGTTTCACCGCTGGCCTCTGTTATTGTGGCTGCTGCTGCTCGTGATATTGATGAAGGTCCCGACTAGCCGTTGCTGCTGCTGCTGCTAATCTTGACGGCGATGTTGCTCCCACCGCTGCTGCGTCTGCTTAACGATCGCAAGAACGATGTTTGACGTTGGCGCTGACGTTTCTGCCACCAACCGCACCCGCCACACAGTTGCTGGTGGCTCCGGTGACCCGCTGGGGCGCCGTGCACCGCGACATCTACCTGCCGTGCCCACGGTGCCGCTGGCGGGATGCCGACTCGGGCTCCGTGCACCGCGGCGCCACGTGGCTGCGCTCGCACCCGGCGCCCCTGCAGCGCGTGCCGCACTTCACGCGCGTGACTCGGCGATGGAGGGGGGCGGTGCGTGGGGGAGCGGTGGTGTAGCGGTTAGCGCGCTGCGCCACGGATCTGACTGAGCGGGGTTCGATTCCCGCTCACGGCCACCAACCAGCGACGATTGTTTGGACCGGTCCTGGGCCTCCCCTAGGTCGATTCGGCCCCAAATGGGTACCTGGTGCGGCGTGTAAACATCGCAACTGGGGAGACAAAGGCGGCCGGACGTGATTGGCCACCCACCCCCTCGTGTGCCGTGCCGGCCGGCTTGCTAACAACACTTACCCCTACAGTCTGTTACAGGGTATACGGGGGATCTTTGTTGTTGGGGGGGGGGGGAGTCTAACCCAGGTGTCGCGCTCGTTGTTGTCTTGTTACGCGTTTCACCTGCCCGCTCCCACCGGTGACGCACTACAACAGAGTCGTGCGCAGTGACAAAGCATGGATGGCGTGGGTGCCCCAAGCCTTATAGGCTCACGTCGTAGTAGGACCTATAGGACTCGCACAGAGAACTTACATAGAAACCCATAGACACCCATAGAAACCCATAGTAGCCTCGTGTGCTTCACGTGGCCCCCGGGACAATTCATTAAATGGGTGCTCCGATCTCAAATTCACTCCTTACCCACAACCCTCCTTCATAGCCCGGTGGATCTGCCAGTCCGCAGGCTTTGGTGCAGTTGCACCGCCTACACACCAGAGGGCTAATCCCGATGGAGTCCGCTGAACACGCCAGAATCTGACTCCTCGTCACGATAGATGTTTGTGGGGGGGGTAACGGAGAAAACCCTTGCTGAACCTACTTGCTGTAACTACCATTTAATTTCCGCTTGCGCTAGACGTTGGGTATATGGATCAATTAATGATCTTCTTTCGGTCCACCAACCCCTACCTATAATTAGTTTAAAAAAAATGGTACAATTGTTTACGGAGGAAAGCCTCGCTGAGTCTCACGACTTATTTCCAGGGGGGTCCTGCGAAAATTGGAAGGTTTGGCTAATCCCATCCATGAGGGTTTTGGTTTTCATGTGGCAAGGCATCTGAGAACCCAGAAAAAAACACACCACGTATGGAAATTGGATCTTACGTATGAGTTGACAATCCCACTTGCTGTACTGTTATCTCCTGACCACATCGCGGTCCAGCGAGTTTGGGAGTTTCACAAATCTCTACGTGATCCACCAACCACTTCCCTCCGAAGCACCGAATGACAGGCAAATGTATGCATGCTTGTGTAGTTGTGTGAATGTAATTTATATCAGGGTCTTTGTATATATTTGCGATTCGAACTTGATAGTATCACCAAAGTTGACAGCCTAAAATGAGTACCTGGCATTTGGGTGTTGTGTGTCGCTGGCCACAGCTCACCCCCTTCGTGTGAAAAAGAGCTTCATAGCTCATCGGATTCCTCCAGTATAGATACATATTCTTGATTCTGTAATGTTGCCAGCCTTAATAGATGCTCGCTAACAGCACTTGCTTAAAAAGTATTAGCTGGTAGTGAACCTACATGTTATTCGTACGTGTTCATATACAGTAGTGTACGTGAAATGTAGAACGTAAATGATATTACCTCGAGCTGCACTGCCAAAGTGCGCGGTAGTCTATTTCCAACCTGTACTGACTGATGCTTAATGTTAATTTTGAAAGGTCAAGAGTTTTCTATCATGATGTGTGTCCTCGTTTGTTTGGAATTCACTGCTAGTTTGGTGCACGTGCTCGAATTGTATTTAATAGCTAAGAGTCTAAACTAATTATGTACACTCAAAATATTTACGAACTGTGTTGATGAATTCGGTGGGTCATCATCATTACCATCAGACACGATCAATCGACCGCTTCGGTGGAGGCCTCCTCCTCCTCCGAGCTGTCGCCATCTCTCACACGGAGCTGCGACAGATGCCACCACGTGACACATCTTGAGCTCCTTCACACGAGGAGCTGAGGATGTCAACGCCCAATCTTAGTAGCAGCAGCAGCGGACGTCCTCTCCGCACGTGTCCCCCTGCCTTTGCTTGTCGTCGTCTGGAACTTCCTTCCCCCTGCGGCAGTCCGTGCTATCGACTCCCTTGTCCCCTGTTCGCTGCCCGATAACTGATCGTCTCTTCAACCAGTGATGTGCATATCCAGTGCTCACTTGCAACCGGGACATACAGAACGTTGTTTTTTTTCTAGCCCAGGTGTTGGGCTAGAAAATTACGTCTCGGATTCACGTACATTGCGGCTATTAAAATATTTAGGGGTTTTTTGAATGAATTCCCAAAAAAATGGCTTTTATTTTTATGTTGATTGCTGACCCTTGTTCTAGCCATTATTTTAGCTTCGATATGAAATTAATTCCATACAAAATTAAATACTAAATCAATATTTTGGGTACGCACATCCATCCATCTCGCCGTAGTCTGTCCTTACGTCTTATAAACCTGTTAAAATAATTAATGGAAATACAGCATACAGTAATATAGGTTTATTACTATTATTTAATGGTGTAACCTTTTACTCTTACTGAGAATTAATACCTTATGCCGATAAATCCCCTACTCTAAGCCCTCGTCTACACATCCCAATGGTCCATCACAGCGTCTGGAGAAGCTATCCCCTTCAGATGCTATGCTCATACAAAACTGCATAACTCCTTTACGATAAGTTAACGTCATGTTTATATTTAAGCTCGATACTGTACACACACATACGTATGTCAAGAGAGTTGGCAGCGTGCCCACATTGAACTATTATTCGCAGCGCATGCAAACGAGTGATGTCCTGATTCGTGTACATAATGTCCCAGGGGTATAAGTCAGCCCGCATATAGGTCATGTACCTTCATAACTAGCCCTTTTGACAGAGGGCACCTGCGAGTTGGTGAAGGTGAGTATTCAGAGACACGGGAGCATAGACGTATAGTACAGCCACGGAATCGGCTGCGCTGCCCTCAACCGCGTGGACCAGATAGCAGCTGTATCAACTTTATTTTTATTTTTTGTTTTATTTTAATTTTCAACCTACGTGACTTTATCGAAAGAACCAAAGAGTATGGATTCCTGCAGTCACGAAAGCTTCAAATCAAGCTTGTATCAACTTGTTTCTTGTCGCCCATACAAGCGCTATCCAGGATTAAACCTTCTCAGCTTTCAACAAGATCTCATGAGATCGGGTGATTTGGTCACAGGCGTCTAGGGAGGGCTTCATTTCTGATGGAATGTTCATTTTGGGCCACTCACCCCCTCACCACTCCGAAATTCGCCGTCAACGTTTTCCGGAGGTCAGCCCAGACAACTCCGGCTAAATTTACGACCTTTTTTTTTCCACAGACCATATTTCACAATCAGCTTATGTCTTATCAACAATGTACGGTCTGATTGTAATTACATTCAATACCATGCCAATAGACCTCAGTGTCAATCAATTACTGCCACGCGAAAACATCCGTGAAACGACGAGACGTCTGTGAAAGAGAGCGTCATAGCTCACGGGATTTCTCCAGGATAAATAAAGATTCCGATTCTGAAATGCGTCAAAACCCCAGACGGGTCGCGTGATCTTCGCCGTGGCTAAAATCAAACCCTTGGCGTGCAAGCGCGTACACTAGTGCAGGAATACGCATGCAAATGTGAAAAGGACAAATCATAACCGATGGGTTTCCTTTATTAAACACACATTGATCGTAAATAATAAGCGCCGAACAAAAGATTACTGTTTTCATGTGTTAACGAGGACAGGATGAATAATCCGATCGTGATGTTCTAAACATGCGACTTTTTAGAGGCTGTGTGCCATGGGTGTCGAAGTGTGTGGGCCCATTCTCGAATGAGTTTATGGGCCAATGGAAAAGTCGACATTCTTCCGAAAAGTAACCACAACAGCTATTGACGTCTCGTAATGTGGCACTCATTTTATTGACCCAATTTAATAACGGAATCAGGTGCAGACGGGGTCGGCCCGGGCTTGTACGCCGGCACCGCAGGTGTCGCCTGGCAGACGTGCGATAAGGGGTGATTGGGAGGAGCTGGATAATTGGGAGGAGGATATAAGGAGGTGCGTGAGAGCGGAGCGGGAGTTCGGGTTGCTGGGACCAAGGTGAAGACATCTCGCCGCTGCCGCTCAAGCCAGGGACAGACCTCAACCCTCACGAGTCGTCGGGCGGGTGATGGTTGATCCCCCCGCCCGGATCGGACGAGTGAGTGGGTCTCAGGGAACGTAGGCGAGGGAAGCGGCGCAGAGGGATAGCGGCTGGGAGCAAGCCTCTGTGTGAGCGAAGCCTCTGTGTGAGCGCTGCTGTGTGCAAGCTCTGTGTGAGCGAGACCTCTGTGTGAGCGCTGCTGTGTGCAAGCCTCTGTGTGAGCGCTGCTGTGTGCAAGCCTCTGTGTGAGCGCTGCTGTGTGCAAGCCTCTGTGTGAGCGCTGCTGTGTGCAAGTCTCTGTGTGAGCGAGACCTCTGTGTGAGCGCTGCTGTGTACAAGCTCTGTGTGAGCGAGACCTCTGTGTGAGCTGCTGTCTGTGTGCGGAGCTGTGAGTGCGGAGCTGCTGAGAGGAAGAGCTGCCGTAGGCAGGTCAGCGAGGTGTAAAGTAGATAGGGGAAGTTGGTTAACAAAAGTGATATATAGACAGGAGTGCCTACAACTGGTGCAAGAATAGAGTAATAAAGTGTAAGCAGGTGACCTGTAACAACGTGTCCGACTGAGTGATTTTACAAGACACTACACATACATAGATATATGTCACAATGTCCCCCCCCCCTCCTCCCCACACCGTTGCCATCCATCGACCTCACTTGGCTATTGATCGCCTCTCATTGTATCTGTACCAGATGTGAATCATTCTGGTAGAGAGCCATGGGCGGCTTGTCGAACTACGGTACTTTGTGTGGTCAAAACAATGTGAAAGAGCGTGGTGGTGTAGGATATCTTCTGTTGCACCAGAAGGTGAACAGAGAATG